CTGGAAATGTTTCCCCTCCTCATCCAATTGACACCTGGGAGATGAGCAAGTGGCCTCTCTGTAGCTCTTATAAAAGTTTTACATTAATCAGGAAATCCTTGTCTGCATGGTGTATTCCCTCAAGAGCACAGTTTTACCTACACCCTCTATTAATTCTACAGCAAACTAAAAAGCCCTTCAATGACAATGCCTGAGCAGGTTTCCTGTTAAAAGAATTTACAAAGTACTGATGAAGCACTTCAAGCAGACATGCAATAAAAGTAGTTACACTTGCCACAAGTCTGATTATTTCAATTTCAGACAGGTTGTTTACATTTCCCTTAATGGAGGGGGGAAACAACAAGATGTGTTCTGCAGAGTAGAAGACCACACAAACGCTGGCACATCAGAAAAGATTAAAGGAATACTGTGCATGTACCTTGAGGAATATAAAAGCATGAGAAAGGGTATACAGAGATATAAGCACAAAAAAGTACAAAAAAAGATTCCAAAAACCTTTGTATTCAGCCACAGGACTTGATGCAGAGAGAAAAAAGGAAGGACAATGACTTTTCTAAACCTCAAATATTCATTAAATCAGTAAATTATGTAAGCAGGCTGTGAGGAGTCAGGTGAGCACCAGGCATGCCAAAAAAGAAGCCTGTCCAGCTCATGCTTTCAATTTTCCTACTTAAAAAAGAGAAGAGCAACTTCTGAAAGTTTAATCTTACTGTAAGTGGAGGAAAATAAAAAGTAGTTGTTTCTGCTCAGTTTACACTTTTCTTCCCCACTCTTCTTTCCAAGCTCTCTTGAATAGTAACACCCTAAAAAATAAATGTACTGTGATTTCATCCTAAACTTCACTTTATGGACTTAACAGGTCTCTTGGATCTTGCAGTTGGAGCCATTAAAATTTCTCTGGAAGCTAAGCACAATATTTGGTGGAGGTTTTTGGTTGAAAGAGGGGGGTGGAGGTGGTTTATAACAGTCTGTCAGACTCTTTCAGTCAACAGCCCAATGACCAAAACTAACAGTTTGTACCACAGAAATAGAACTCATCTGTTTGGAAAGATGGCTGCACTGAATCGAGCATCTTCCAAAGTCCCACTAAAATTCTGATACAGAACATAGCATCACTACCTCATACAGCCTAAGGAAATACAGTCGTGTTGGCACTTCAGTCTCCACACGGGGTAAATATTTAGGGAACCTCTATTAAGACATTCTAGGAAACAGAGTTATGCCCGAACAGCAATCTGGGCTTCCTTTAGTATTTCTCCTCCTCGCGGGTCAACGTGTCTGCAGTGGAACAGGAGATGGTACCATTGCCCATGTTAGGCAAGCTAGTCAATAGCAAACATTCATGAACACTTTAAAGTCATCACATAGGTGAGTAGATGGCTTGAAAGCAACTTCAGACAAGCTTATTTAAATCTGAACCATTCCTGTGTGCACACCCACAAATGTATCAGCTCAAAAAATTTATTTTGTACAACTACACATGGCTTTTTTCACCAACTCCACCTCTGTCAAAGAGTGATTAGCTTTCTCAAAAATAAAGCACAATCACCACATTTCTGACTTGCCAAAACATAGATGAGGATGAAAAAAGAAAAAGCATTTTTAATCCAACTTATATGGACACATGGACTATGCTATGAATAAGTAATGGAGGAACAAAGTCACTTCAAAACATGAAGCCCATCAGAAACCCATTCAGTTAGCTTATGCCCATAATTAATTTGGTGCAAAAGAAACAAAGGTATTCAAAGTCTGGTTGGGAACTTAGAACTTAAACATGGAGTTTAGCAGCATTCACAATTAGGCATGCCCAAATGTCTAACAAATCCAGGCACAGAGGCACAGTCCTTTTTTCTCTAAAGAAAGTGATTTACAAAGACAATATTTTGACCACTAAAAGCATCAGTAAAAGAAGATAAGTTTTGTTATGTGTGCACAGCAATATTTCCACAATTATCATAATCACATTACTCCTTGTCATTCTAATTCTACCATTTTTAAAAGTCTCACATCTTGTCAAACATGACAACTTCAGGCAAACCTTCTGATGGAACTCTTAGACCTTAATGATTCCTTTATGATTCCTTTAAGGAACACCATAAATGAGCAAATAGTGCTCAGTTTTTGAGGGGTTGTTCTTTTTTGGTAGCTAAGGCATCACTTGAGGTACTCGTGCAAATTTCAGAAAACAGAAATACTGTGATAAATTCTAGTAATTTTCTATAAATTCTATAGATTGAAAAAGTATTTTAAGTAGATTGAAGAACTTTATAAAGTATTTATTTTCTATCTACTGTCTCATCTAGTATAAGCAACATTCATCAGTTTTCTTTTAAAATGAACAAAAATAAGCCAACCATGTTATCATCATAATTATATCATCATAAAAACATATAACATCATCATAACTATACTTTTTCTATGAGCTGTTAAGAACACCGTATGTAAGCAGCCAGCAGAAGAGGACCTAGAACAACACAATTTTTAGAAGGCACTAGCTAAAAAGCAACTGTTGTGTCAAACAGTATTTGTATTTCTGTGATACAGAACTCATCAATAAAAGAAAGACAGAAAATACTGAGTCTAGGACTTGAACTGCCAGACACACTTCTGAAATCTTGTATCAGTTCCACTGCATAACACCTGCAATGAAACTGTCCTGAACCTGATGTAGGAAGCACTCACAGGTTGAATACCTGTGGCATACAAAATATTCAGCTCACAGCTGAAGACAAATCCATGTGACTCATGCAGGGAGGAGTTTGAGATGGATTTTTTTTGTCTTTGATTTTGTCTGCTACAAAAGACCCTTTGTCCATCCTGAACAACAATAAATTTCAAAGGTATTTTGTCACAAAAGGAATGCAAGACTTCCAAGCAACTGTCGTATTAATTACCACATAGTTATAGAAGCCTTTTTCATAGAGCAATTTCCAAATTGTAACTTCACTAGGAATTTATGACTAAAAAGAGTAAGACTCTCATAATAATGAGCACCTGTCTAACAAACGGAATGATCAACTCCATTCACATTCACAAGCTACCAACAAATGAATATTCTCTAAATCCTTGCATCTGTAAAAGAGCAAAGCTTTTAACTGAACCTAGACATACAAAACCACTAGTAGACTTACCATTTATCATAAAGCTAACATTTCAGGCCAAATAACATGACTTATTCATGCTAATTCTTACACTGAAGTCTATGAGATTATTTGCATGGGCTACCCTTACTTTGGCCTTCAAATAATCTAATCTAATATTCCACTGAAAACAAAAAACTCTAGTGTAGTGGTCAGTTTTAAAGCTAAACTGAATTTCCCAAGGCCAGTGATCATATTACATAATAAGAACTAAAAATGGTCCAAATTTAACAAGAGTTATTCTCTCATGAACTCCCAAACTTTCTCAATCTGCCAACACTCTACAGTTACTAGTGGAAGACCTGACTAAAAGCACTCACAGCACAAAAACTGTATAAACTGAGTAATTAACTTGAGAATGAGAATTTAGTCCTTCATCTCGCTCCAACTGGCCCTAATCTGAGCCAACTTCTGCTAATGTATTAGAAACAGAAGTTTAACATTAAATTTGGAAGGCACTGAAGAAAAAAGAACATCCTAACAAACTCCATTTGATCTACAGAATTACCTCAGGATACTAAAATAATATTACTAAATATACCAATAACACTAGTCCACTTGGTACCATAGTAGAAATGACATAACGTTATCTTACAGTGTAAGTAGAAAATTTTGTGGCCCCAATTTGTATCTGAGCAAATTTTGTTTATGTGCAATTTCTTTCCTGCATCCTCTTTCACAGAATTCCACTTCAGTAGAGATTTGTCTTCATCATTAAATTACAAATGTGCTTCCTCAGTGAAGACAAGTACTTGGAGATCCTCCTAAGCAAAGACATGTTTTTTGTTCTTTAGTTTAATTCAACAAACACACTACTGGTCACCTAGCAGAGGAACAACTTTTGCTTGTTTCCCCCATGGAAACGGTTACAAAAGTCTGCTTTCCACTCGGGAACACCCTTAAGGTTGACAGCTTAAGAAGAGTAGTATCAGCTTGTGTATCTTCTAAGTGATGATGTATACTGTTAGCCTATGCAAGCAAAAGGGAGGAACACGTTCTGAGTAGACACATAAACACCAGATTTACTTTTTCAGTACAAGTGACAGAACTGAAGACACAACTAATTTGCTTTGGGATTGGCATCTCTTAGATCTGGAGGTTGTAAACTCTATTTTAGCTCATGTTGAGCTAAACACACCTTCATCATTACTCTGACTTGAGCAGGAAGGTTGGCCCAGATGATCCACTATGGTTCATCTCAGCTTTACCAATTCTGTGATTTCATCTAAGTTGAAACCAGCCTAGGCTTGCAAAATCACACATTTTATTTGCTGGATAAGCGCACCTTGAACTAGCTTACAAACATTTATCCCGTTTCCACAAAAATCAATGCAAGAAAATAACATAGTAAAAGCACGAGTTCAGTACTGTTACAAATACTAACCATGAATGACAAAACCTATAAATTTCCAAAGCAAAAATAAATTCAGTCAAGAAAGGATGCTTCCAGTACACAGCGAACACGACAAAAACAACCCCAGACAAAACCCCCGACCGAAATAATTATTGTTGACAGAAGGTAACTCTGAAGACATCACTTTTAGCGACACGGGTTTCCTTGCAGGATGTATGCGAAAGAAGCAGGGGAAACTTTTAAGCTGATATTTTTTGCACCCGTTCCCACAGCAAACGGGTGCCAGAGCAAACCCCGAGCCGGTCTAGCAATACTGTCCCAACGGGACACTACCCTGTCTCTTCGTCTAAACCGCGTTTAAACCCCACCAACGACTCTACCAAAATCAGTCAATTTTTCGGCCAATTTAAACACGTTACTAAATGCTTTCTCGCCGTTGACAGATTAAGCGTTTCAGCTGGAAAGCTGACGGAGAGCTTTCCACCAGCAGCAGCGAGCTGTACCTGCTGAGCAGCGCGGCGCTGCTCAGGACGAATCCCGGCCGCGCTGCCCGCAGCCCCTCACGGCGGCCTCGGCCCACACCGGCCGG